TGATGTATTGCTCATTGAACTGAGTGCAGCATGGTACAGTTGAAAAAACATGCAGATTGCAGTTAGAAGTCCTGAGGATGCTCACTAGCTTTGCCATTTATTCAGTGTGTCCTTGGACAGGTTATATAACTTCTCCATGCCTCACCCCACTAGCCCCCAACACTAGAATTACAAAAGCTCCAAATAGCATAAAATATCTCAATGTCTGGTCCAGAGTAAGGGCTCATTAATGCTATTTCTCTTCCTTTGAAAAAAGGCATATTTTTACATTAAGAATTAAGTATGTTTAGCAATTTCCTAAAAATTACAATGGATATAATTGGAAATTTTTCTAATTCCTCCAGTCCTTAGTTTGAGAAATACTATAGAATGCTGGTTGTAACATAAGTGAGACAGAATTAGTTATCCCAGATGGGAAAGTAAGGACAGTACTGAGCTGGAATTCCTTTTAATGAACTCCCCTGCTCCAGAGAATGAAAAGGAAGTTCTATTTCTTGGATCTTGGAAAGAAATGTTTTTAGAGAGAAAATCATACTATTATTCATGCTGACAATATGGATATGCTCAACCTATGAACCCAAACAGTCTTAGTTAATGACAAGCTGTAATGTGCATTTTTGCTAAAATGTACCTAATTGGAAGCTTTCATAAATTGTGTGGTTTTCCCTTTTTCCTTTCAAAATAAATACATACATACATAAATAAAATTGGGGTGTTTGTGGTAAAATACCCCAGATTGTTAGTGAACAGGTTTATCCTGAACTTTTCTATTTCCATATAGTAAACATCACTGCTGAGTATCAATAATGTTAGAATTTACTTCGGAAAAATGCTACTAATGGTATAATTTGAGCACCATCTGTATGTATATAGTATTTTATTCAGGTAACATGAGCACAGTATGACATTACTTGTGCAATTTTGAAAGGTTAATTGAATTGTTGAACAATATTTTAATTTATTCTAATTTGCTTCATTGGAATTCTTCCAATAGTTTTGAATATCTTTGCATGCATTAAAGTCTATTAAATTCTTCTCTTTTTTTTTAACCCAAATATACATTTGTGGCCACATTTTAAATTTGAACCCCATTGTTAGCTAAATGTCAAACCCTTTAAAAATCTTTTCATTAAAGCTCCTTTTTTTTCCCTGAGAACTGAAGTCATCTTATTCACATTATTTCCTGAAAAAGAAAGGGCTTGGTTATCCAAAAGTCTTATTTCTATCTTTTAAATAGGGTACAGATAAAGATTATAGTGCTCTTATAGGTGTGGCAATGTTGCCAAATAAATTTCTAGAATTTCATTTTTATAAGTACAAGTCAGAATATTTGATGAATTGCAAGTGTGGAATCAGAGACCTGCATGTTAAAATAGATTGTTACTATACAAGCAAATGGCACACTGCTACCACCATAAGACATTTTCATTATTTCCCATTCACAACAGACACCACGATTTTCCCACCAGTCATAAAGATCATTTTAAGTAAAGAGATGGAGCAACATTTTCAGAATGAGATGTTTTAAGAATATTTTATGAACTTATTCCAAAAATCAATGAATAAAAGTAGAGAAAATCAATTCACTCATGAGTTCTAGAGTCAAATCCACACCAACAGTCAGAGGGTGTCCTTTTTCTGTCTTTTAGAATTACAGATGTGAGAAAACTGCCACCAAAATATATTTTCAAAGTGTTAAAGTATACGTATCAGAAGATAAAAATCATGACTCTAAAAAACTTTATTTAACTCTTCAATTTATGAGGGAACCAGTAAGTGTTATGACTGGCTCAAAAATATTTAAAATGCTAGGATATTTATAGGAGATTTAACAAAGAAATGTTAAGATAAGATTGCTGATTTTGATTAAAAATAAAAACAAAAGAGGCTGGGCTTGGTGGCTCACTCCTGTAATCCCAGCACTTTGGGAGGCCAAGGTAGGTGGGTTGCAAGGTCAGGAGTTCGAGACCAGTCTGGCCAACGTGGTGAAACCCTGTCTCTACTAAAAATACAAAAATTAGCCAGGCATGGTGGTGTGCACCTGTAATCCCAGCTACTCGAGAGGCTGAGACAGGAGAACTGCTTGAAAGCAGGAGGTGGAGGTTGCAGTGAACTGAGATTATGCCACTGCACGCCAGTCTGGGCAAAAGAGCAAGACTCTGTCTCAGAAAAAAAAAGGAAAAAAAGGCTCCATTATAGTCCAACAGATCATATGTCTTTGGCACCATTTATTTCACTACATGAAAATTATTTTCATTGTTACTGGACAAAAATCTATCAGTAAGGTAACTTCATTAAGTCTGGGACCTCTTGTCAATAACCAACAATAAGATGAACTGAGAACATTCTTCTAGCCAGTCCTTGGGTGGCCTTTCCCCCAATATTATATGAAAAAAGCACACCAAAATTTTCTGCCTTTTTTCAAGTTTTGATAACTTTACTGACAAAAATAGTAAATCGTGCAGGCGATGCTTCTCAAAAGTTTTAAAGTACCACCAGTGAACATCTATATTTCACCAAAACATTGTTATGAGTATTGACTCTTTGGTTTGTTTTCTTGTATGTAAAGAATTGTAGAAAGCTCACTCAACACTATATTAGCAGATACGAAAATTGAGTTGCAAATGTATAGTGAGTATTAAGGTTACACTTGAAAGACACATTACACTGTTTCGTATTTTAAAGCCATTACCTTTTTCTCATGACACATGAATTTCTATAGCTTTCAAAAGGGCAGAGTATACAGATACTCTCTATCATGGTTGTCAGATAAAATGACCTTGCTCTGACCAATGTGGACCTACCAAGAATTACATTTCCACAAGGTCGATGAATTGTTTTTGTAACGTCCACGTCTATATGCCTCTGCATAAATGCCAAGGTCTTTCATGTTCCTCCCCAAATATTTCTCTGCAATTTCCCAACATGCAGGCTTGATTTGGGCACATATCAAGGTCACCTAGAGTCTACTTCATGAGGACAAAGGCCTTGAAGTCAGATTCATTGCTTTGAGTCCAGATTAAGAGGTTCCAGGCAAGTTGCTCAAACCCTCTAAGAACCTCTCCTCATTTTTAAAATGGTTCAAAAACATTACCCTCTACAGAGAGCTCCTGTGAATATTAATGAATAAATTTTAGTCACTTAGGGCATTGATTGTGGCAGAGTGAGTGCACAATAATTGCATAATAAATACGTATGCTTTATGTAGATAAATATCATTGTATTTATAATAATAATAAAGTGTCATCTTTTTTTGGTAACTTCAGCCGTCTCATTCTCTATTCTGTGTTTCTTTGTTTTTTTCTTTTCATTTTTGTCTCTCCTCCCACCTGGAAAATGCTCTCAATCTGTGCCATCTTTCCATGCTGTACCACAATCTCCAGTTTCTCTAACTCCTAATGATCTCTTCTTCTAAAACAGCCATTGCATTTAATTATATATTACAATATTTGCTGCTATTTCATGTATGCAGCTATTTCTGCTGTTAAACATAAGCATCTTGAGGACAGTGTGACTTCAAGTGTGTACTAATTTTTATAAAGGATCCTTCTATCTAGGAAAACAAGCTCCAGCCTAAATGTTCCAGGCTTAAAAGAAATTAGAATAAGGATAATAAAAAGGAGGTACAGTTTGGCCATTAAGCCAAACCTCCCCTCTACCTACTGTGCACCCACCAATCTGTGGGTGTGATGCCAGTTGGCTTCCATGGGAATCTATGCTTATGGGGCTGCTGTCTGCATTTGATTTTGCTGCTCTAGTGTCCTGGAGAGCAGTCTAAGAAAACACAGATGTATAAAAGCCTGGGAAGACATCATGAAACAGTTCCTATGTTGTTTCCATCTTCAAGAAAATCTTTGGACTGTCTGTTGTGCACCAAACTATACTGAGTACCACTGGTCTACAAGACATTGTTCTTTCTCTCAAACTGCTTTTATTAATTTATATTTTTGTAGATCCATAATAATTTTAATAATCTGTATCAATTTTAAATATGAGATCAGAAAGATGTACAATCAATCTCAAATATGGATAATTTATTTGGTTTTCCACCCCTCCACCTATTTCTGCTCCGTAGAACTTTCTGTAACATGGTAGAGCTCTAAGGGGAAAGAGAAGAGTTCACAAAAACTTTTTGCAGCCACTTTCAGCACAGCTCACACCGCCAAGTACTTGAGCCCAAGCAGCACTTGCTCTGCGCACTGTGGCTCATCCCCAGATCGGTTCCATTGCTGGTGCTGGTGCTGCTGCTGCTGGTATCACAACTGAAGTTATGTCTACGCCCTGCATTTTTGACATGATCCTCTGTGAAAAGTGTCATTGTGTGTAGGCTCACCAGCTGTCCTGGTTGCCTGTGACTGTCTGGGTTTGAAGCACTGAAAGTCAAGTGTCTCAGAAAATCTTGAACACCCAAACAAACTGGAATAGTTGGTCACTGGGACATTTATGTACAGCTGAACCTTCTTCCAGGCAGTGCGTTAGAGACTCTGCATCCACCAACTCCTACGCCAGGCACTAAGTCTACTCCCTGATTCTTTCTTTAAAGCATTTTAGGTCAATTTCTCCTGCTAGAATTCTGTATCACTCAACACCACTCTCCTGAAGGGATGAAATAGATAACCAACAAGCATCATGCAGTGTTTTTCTGTTCCTCTCCTCTATGACAGCATTGGATTCTATTATCCTTCCTCCGTCCTATTGCCCTCAGCAGCTTTAGCCCCTCTTTCCTTCTCCTCTCCCTCCCTCCACCCAATCCTCAGAGGTTCTGCCTTTTGAGAAGAATCAACCATTAGCTCTCCAAAAGGTTGCATATTTGTTTAATTACTTTTTGAGACAGAGTCTTGCTCTATCACCCAGGCTGGAGTGCAGTGTCAAGATCGTGGCTTACTGCAACTTCAACCTCCCAGGCTTAAGTGATTCTCCTGCCCCAGCCACCCTAGTAGCTGGGACTACAGGCATGCACCACCATATCTGGACTATTATTTTATTTTTTAATTTTTTGTGGAAACGGGGTCTCGCCATGTTGCCCAGCTGGTCTCAAACTCCTGGGCTCAAGAGATCCTTCCACCTTGGTCTCCCAAAATGCTGGGATTACAGGCATGAGCCACTGTGCCTAGCCAAGTTGCATATTTAAACATAACTCTTTAGTATTTCCTTATAATCTCTGAGCCAAGATTCTTACCTCAATGTCTACTTCTGTCTACAGAAGAAAAATACATCCACCAACGATGATTTATTTAAATATCTGAGACTGGAATCAAGGCCAATTTTCCTTTGGCCAGAGTATGTGTTCTGCATTTGCTTTTACCAAATGCTAAGTCCAAATGTAAAAAAAAAAAAAAAATACAACCACTTTAAGAGTGTTAGGAATAAAATGGTAAAAGAAGTTGAAGAGCATCTCTAGCTAAATAAGGGTTGTCATTTGATTAATGCAAGAAAAATCAAATAGTCACAAAGCTCTCCAAACATCTTTCTTTCAGAAATAGAGCCATAATATACATTTGATTCCCCAAAACACATTTCTGAAAGTTCTAAGCTAGTGAACATATGAATTGGTAATGAACCCTGCAGGATTCATAATTATAACTTTGCAATCATGACACAACAATATGCTCAAAAGCAATGTTTGGGTACTCTTTGAACGTAATTGATAGCTAAGCATATGCATTTTATTGGTAGGTGATGAGAATCACATGTAAAAGTTTTTATCTTGGTATAGCCGGAGGGGGCTATGTGAGGAGGTAAAATGATTATTTTACAGGAGAAAGAAGATGTCCTTATCCTGTGTGCCATAGATCTGTCACATTCTCTGACAGGATTCTACTGAAATCCTTCAGGACTTTCCTAGTGCTCTGCCTATAAAGGCCCCCGATCTGTACATAGTCTAAAGAGATCTACATGATCAAAAACAGTGACTCTTACCTGGGGGCGATGATTTCACCCTCACCCCCACCAGCGAACATTTGGCAATATCTGGAAATATTTTCAGTTGTTATAACTGAAGGGAAGGAATATGACTGGCATCTAGTGTGTAGAGGCCAGAGGTACTGCTAAAATTGTGCAAAGGGCTGCTCCCCACAACAGAGAATCATCCAGCCCCAAATGTTAATCAACAGTGCCAAGGTAGAAAACCTTGATATTAAGCCCTTTGTTTCTCTGGTTTCTTCTCATACCCCTCACTCCTTCCTGTACTGTGTTCCTATTTTATTTTCCTTTCCATTCTTTGAATGGGCCCCTATCCTTCCCACAAATTGGACTTTGCCATTCTATTCCTGCTGCCAGAGGCTCCTCCTCCAGAATCCTCTCCCTTTCCTGATTAACTATTCTTTCTCCAGCTCTCAGCAATTAAAGCAATTTTTTTCAGAGCATCTCACCCCATTAGACCAGATATCTCTGCTACACAGTCTCCTGACACGTTGCAGTTTTCCTTCATAGCTTGTATCACAGTTTATGGGAATGCTCAATTACAGGCATACCTCAGAGATATTGGGGGCTTAGTTCCAGACCACTGCAATAAATTGAATATCCCAATAAAATACATGATATGAATTTTTTCGTTTCTCACTGCATATAAAAGTTGTGTTCACCCTATGCCATAGTCTATTAAGTATGTAATAGCATAATGTTTAAAACAGCAGTGTAAAAGCCTTAATTTAAAAATACGTTAGAGCTGAAAAATACTAACAACCATTCAAGCCTTCATCGAGACCTAATCTTTCTCCTGGTGGGGGGATCTCCTCGATGTTGATGGCTCCTGACTGATGGGGCAGCAGTTGCTGAAGGTTAAGGTGCTTTTGGCAAATTCTTAAAATAAGAAACCATGAAGTTTATCCCATCAATTGATTCTTTCTTTTATAAAATATTTCTCTGCACCATGTAATGCTCTTTGACATCATTTTACCCGCTTTCAAAACTGGAGTCAGTCCTCTCAAACTCTGCCACTGCTTTGCCAACTAAGTTGATGTAATCTTCTGAATCCTCTGTTGCCATTTCAGAGATGTTCACCCCATCTTCACCAGAAGTAGAATCCATCTCAAAAAAAAAACAAACAAACAAACAAAAAACTTTCTTTACTCATCCATAAGAAGAAGCAACTCCTCATCCATTATAATTTAATTATGAGATTGAAGCAATTCAGTCACGTCTTCAGGCTCCACATGTAATTCTAATTATTTTGCTATTTCTACCATCTCTGCAGTTACTCCTCTACTGAAGTCTTAAACTCCTCAAAGTCATTCATGAGAACTAGAATCAATGTCTTCCAACCCCAATTAATGTGAATATTTTTACCTTTTCCCATAAATCACAAATGTTCACAAAGTCATCTAGATGGTAAATTCCTTCCAGAAGGCTTTCAATTTACTTTGCCCAGATCCTTCAGAAAAATCGCTATCGATGGCAGCTATAGCCATATAAAAGGTAATTTTGAATAATAAGACATGCAGTCCAGATTACTCCTTGATTCATGGGCTGCAGAATAGATTTTGTGTCAGCAGACATGAAAACAATGTTAATCTCCTTGCACGTCTCCATCAGAGCTCTTGGGTGACCAGGTGCATTATCAATGAGCAGTAGTATTTTTGAAAGGAATCTGTTTTTCTGAGCAGTAGGTACCACTAATGGGCTTAAAAATATTCAGTAAACCATACTATAAACAGATGTACCGTCACCCATGCTTTGTTCCATTTATAGAGCACAAACAGATTAGATTCAGCATAATTCTTAAGTACTCTAGGGATTTCGGAATGGGAAATTAACATTGGCTGCAACTTAAAGTCACCAGCTACATTAGTCTCTAATAAGAGAGTCAGACTGTTCTTCAAAAGCTTTGAAGCCAGGCACTGACTTCTCTTCTTTAGCTATAAGAGTTCTAGATGGCATCTTCTTCCAATATAATATAAGGATATTTTACCTGCTTTGAAAATCTGTTGTATCGTGTAGCCACCTTCATGAATTATCTTAGCCAGATCTTCCGGATAATTTGCTGCAACCTCTACATCAGCAATTGCTGCTTCACCTTGCACTTTTAGTTAAAGGAGAAAGATTCATACGATCTGAAGAGAAACCACCAGAGTATCATCTTGCACTTTTATGTTATGGACATGACTTCTTAAATCTCATGAACCAACCTCTGCTAGTTTCAAACTTTTCTTCTGCAGCTTCCTCACTTCTCTCAGCCTTCATAGAATTGAAGAGAGTTAGGACATTGCTCTGGATTAGGCTTTGGCTTAAGATAATGTTGTAACTGGTTCTATCCTCTATTGAGACCACAAACACTTTCTCCACATCAGTAATAAGGCTGTTTTGCTTTCTTATCATTTGTGTGTTCATTAGAGTAGAACTTCCAATTTCCTTCAAGAACCTTTCCTTTGCATTCACAACTTAACCAACTGTTTGATGCAAGATGTCTAGCTTTCATCCTATCTCAGCTTTCAACATGTCTTCTTCTTGCTCAGCATAATCATTTCTAGCTTTTGATTAAAGGGAGAGATGTATGAAATTTCCTTTCACTTGAACACTTAGATGACGCTTTAAGGTTATTTTTTTCTAATTTAACAGTGTTTACTTCAAAAAAGGGTAATTCAAGATTGGGCTTTCTCCCAGGCCAGAATGCTTTCAGAGACATTATGGCACTTCCATGTGGTTAGAGAAGATTTATGGGCAGAACAAAGAAAGTGGGTGCAAAAACAGAAGTGAGGTACAGAAACAGCTGGACTGGTTACAGCTTGGGGTGTTTGCCTTATTTGAACAGCTGGCTGACTGTGATTGGCTGAAACTCCATGATTGGCATAAGAGTAGGTTACAGTCTGTTTAGACATCCAGTTAGAATACAGTTTACTATGTATGAGAAACTTTTAGGCCAAAATTACATGGAGGCAGCTATAGGCTAAACTTAATGTAACAACCATTGCAGGGTTATTAATTGGCCTGATTTCAATGTTGTTATTTCTCAGGGAACAGGGAGGCTTCAGGAGAGGTAGCAAGATGAGGGAAGGGCCAATAGGTGGAATGGCCAGAACACAAACATTTAAGGATTAAGTTCCCCATCTTACGTGAGCATTGTTTTTGGTGTCCCAAAACAATTAAAAAAGTAACAACTAAGTTCACTGATCACAGATTACAATAACAGATATAATCATAAGGAAATGTTTGAAATATGTGAGAATTACCAAAATGTGACACAGAGACATGAAGTGAGCACAAAGAGTTGGAAAAATGGCACGGGTAGACTTTGGATAGACTTGCTCGATGCAGGGTTCTGCAAACCTTCCACTTTTTTCTTTCTTTCTTTCTTTCTTTTTTTTTTAACCAAAAGGCAGTATCTATGAACCGCAATAAAATGAGATATGCCTGTAAATCACTGTCCTTCAGTTGGAATAATGAATGGTGCTCAGGGGACCTAAAAATAGTTTCTGGGCAAGAAATTTGGCTGAGATAGTAAGGAAAACCTGAAATAATATTTTAGAGTAAAGCAAGATCAATAAACAGAGTTAGAATTCAAATCTGGCACAATTCGATTTGGAACCAGGTCCTGCTTAGGGCACCAGCCATCCCTCTTTCATGGTGCCTGTTTCAGCATGAGACACAATACGGATGTTCACTAAGGAAGGGACTACGACGTAGGCTCCTTATGTTTCCATTATATGAAGCAGTAACATGCAGAGTTGCTGGTACATTCTGTAGCTCTTTGCACTGAAAATTTTCACTACCTTTAAGATTTAAAATAGACCACTATCAGACGGTTTTCACCTGGACATAGTAACTCCTAATAATTGCCCTGACAAATTTCAAAAGAAGATCATTCTCTAACATATAGGAGAGAAGAAAAGCTTGCATCAACCTGGGAAGTGTAGCAACCTCTTTCTTTACTTCCTCATTCCTTCAATGTGTATTTACAGAGCATCTATTATATACCTAATACTTTGGTAAACTGTAAGAATAAACCAGTAAATAAGTCAGATGTATTTCAACACATGAGGCTTACATCTGATAAAGAAGACAAAAACCAGTAGCAATATTGAAAGGAATATTAATAACTGATCCAATGGATCTATTCAAAAATGGCTGTGGGTTTTTCTAGAGTGTTTGTCCTCTGTAATAGGAAGACACAGTGACACAGCCACTCATTCTTTTAACAAAATTTATTCAGCATCTGCTGAGCACCAGGCAATGTTTTTTCCCAGATATTTGGACATCAGTGAAATGCAGTAGTCCTGCCTTTTCAAAAGTAAACAAAATGAATGCTAATCCTCCCTGAATTAGCCACGTGTTGTGTAACTGAAGACTATGTTGTCCAATTTCAATAACAACTGCAATGGGTCATTGCAGAGCATGACATTTCTACCTATGAGATATTATCATAAAAATCATGACAGGAACATGAAATGCCAGTGGCCTTAATTTCTCTTGTGCACACTATATTCACACATAAACGCTTTGGGTAGAAGTCATACAGATGTGAACCCACAGAGATGATTTTGAAGTTTTCTGTGCAATGAAAAGAAAGGGAGATAATTGTTTTCCCATTTATGGGCAGTCCATCCTTGGGTGGCCTCAAACCCAGCCTCTGAGCTACAGCTGGGCAGGGCAGGGCCACCCAATGTCCACTGCAGGAACAAAGCCCATTGTGTTGGCCTTCATGCATCCTTCATAATAAGGCTGGAAGTAGAAAAAATTTAGACACGGATACCCTGCAATCCAGAGAAACGATTTCTTTTGAAAGTGCCTTAGTCTAGTTCAAGCAGACAATGCAGGAATTGATTTTCCTGTCTCTCCAGTCCCTCTTGTCCTTCTGTTAGCTCCTGCTGAGCTAATGGCTCCTCTTCTGTGGTGCCTGTGAACATCTTTCGTATTATGTTGACAGTTTCCGTTCAAGTGTTGGTCTCATGCACAAAACTGTAATATCCAAAATCTATATAATAGGTACCACCTGCCAGGCGCTTTTGTAAGTGCTTTATGTCCTTTAATCTGACAAAAACTCTATGAGAAAAATATAATTTCTATCTTGATTTTATAGGTGTGGAAACTGAGGCATAAAGAGGTTAAATAGCTTGCCCAAGTGGCACATCTAGTAACAGAGCTAGGATTTGAAACCAGATGCGACTCCACAGCCTCTTAGTAGCATATAGAAGCCACACAATAAATATTTATTAGCACTCATTTGGTCACTTGACTCCTCCACTAGTTCCTGCAGGTTTTTACTCTCCAAGGGGTGATCTCAGTAAGTAGTTTCCTTACGTGACCGTGTATCACAATGACCAGAGAAGACTTTTAAAACTATAGTTCTCTGAGAGTGGCGTTTGACATTTTATGTTTTTCTAATGTGTCTCAGAAGATGATGATTTGGCCACATGGGAAACAATGGTACTAGACAGTGATGTGAAAACAGTGGAGTTGGCACTGGCCCTCTCTACCTTCCCTTTCCAAATCTCTCTTATATTGACAATGCCCCTGTCCACTCCTAAATATCTCTGCTCAGGCTCACTCTCCTAGAACCTTAATCTTAGCCCAAATAATCTTTCCTAAAGTGTTGGAAGGTAAGCAACATACTTCCTAGGACTCCAGTCTAGGAATCAAGATGTTATCTTTCATTACTAGCCACACAATTTTAATGTATTTCAGAGCATTTCAGAGTTTGTCTCTTCATTTGTAAAATACAGTGAGATAAGACAATGATTTATATTGTCTAATATGATAGCTACTAGCCATGCGTGGCTATTTACATTTATATTTAAATTAATTAAAAATTAAATAAAATTTAAAATGTAGTTCCTCTATTAAACTAGCCACATTTCAAGAACTTGATGGCTACATGAGGCTATAGGCTAACATACTGGATAGACATAGAACATTTTCATCAGGACACTAAGTTCTATTGAACAGCATGAATCCTATGCTCAAATGAGATCAGATATCTGAAGACCTTTTCATTTTCGCCACCCTCAGATGAAGGCATGCAAGATATGTAGCCATCTTTATTTTTCTATTATGTAACTTAATTTTTCCTTTGTGCCATCATCAGCCTTTTGGCTGAAAATATAAACTTAGTTAATTTCGGCAAATAAAACCCTTTAAAGTTGGAACACAGGCACTTTGGAATTGTCCCCTTGAAATGCTTCTCCTTCAGATAGCACATAAGTTTTAGGCATCATAACAATTTGGGCTTGCACCCAGGCCTCAACGCCTTCTAGGCTGGAGCCCCTCCAAGAACCAATCTGTGTTAGTGGTACCCTTTAGTTAAAGCTTGTGTGTATGTATTTATGTGCGTACATGCTTATGGGTTAATGGGATGGAATGAGAGAAAAGAGAGAGGGTATAAGAATCTGGAGAGAATTGTTTAATCTGCTTTGCACTTTTTGAATGGTACTCCATAAATAGTCACCTACAAAGCATCAGGGAATGTGTATCTGGGTTCTATGGGAGTGAGTTCTCAAAGTCATAAAAAATGTCTCCCACCTATCAGTTTTCATTAATCAAAATGTCAGTGACCCTGAATAATTTTCATAAACCATTCATTCAAGGTATTTATTAGCAAGAAACAAATTACTGTCTTTTTATTTTTTGTAATCATTTATTCACATTGCTAGCCTTTGGTCAGACAATGGCTTCTTTTAAAACACAAATAATCAACATGTTCTGAATCCTGGACATATCATTCTGTTTAGGGAGTTGCTTCTTATGATTGGCACTATCACAGCCTTGCTTCAGTTTATTACACTGTTGGTAAGTGGAATCGCTAAAGCTGTCACATCAAAAGCCTTCTGGATTTTCAGAATCCTTCACTAGCATTCTTCTCTGGCAAGAAATGAATTGTTCTTTTGTTGTTGCATAATCTGATTGACAAGACTAACATGAATAGGGTCTATTGCATGGAGGAAATTAGGAACCATTTCTCTTGTCAAAATTTCTGTCTTTGCTTTTGTCTTTCCTGTCTAAGCACAGATATGGTCACAATAAGGAGCGGGCAGCCTAAGAAGGCAGTGGTGCAGCTTAAAGAGCACATGTCATCACCTTGTTTTCTTGGGGAGCCATAACCTGCAAAAGAAGGGCAGGG